CCAAACTGGGGGAAAAAAAAATACTATTTAAAGAATGAATAATAAAAGACAGTTCTTGTATTGAAAGAGATTTAGAATCATCTTCAAATTGATTAACACAATACAATCATCTTTAGTAATTTCTGACCTATGAACTTTATCAATTATAAGGGTCAAGCATCTGATCTCCTACCATTTTTCTTTTACATAAGTAAGCACTACCTAGTCTTTAACCACCCCAGTCCTCATTCACTTTGATATTCAAAATAAATCTTCCTGGATGCCAATTACACCACATAACAGTGTCAAGGTGACACAATCTAAAATATCTTGTTTCTGAGACACTGGTATTCAGCCAAAATTTCCATTACCAAAATTACACATTTTAAAATAAAAGGGAAAAAAATTCAACAATTCTAACTGTGACCCATTAGCATAAGCTGATGACAGATACTAAGATGCCCACAGTGTAACAAAAGTGGCTCATATGCATGCTATCTACACATACTTACCAGTTATCTGAATGTCTCATCTTAAGCAAATGATTCTTCATCAACTGATAGGCAAAAACAAAACAACATAAAACAAACTTCTAAATAATTTGACAAAGCTATACTGAAGGTGACATTCTAGTCTAACTCCTTAACTTTCATTTAGCACAGAAAACAATGAAACCATTTCGTCAGGTTAGTTTCACACAAGATTATGGTTCACCCAGTCACTCTTGCTCATGGCTTTAACAAAATACAGTGGAGGGTGGGGGTATCCACCCATACAATGAAGCACTGAAAAAGCTATTTACAAGATGTTTAAAGAGACATCCACTCTGGATGAATGAAAAATGAAAAGAAAAAAACCTAGGCATCAACTAGATGGGGACAAAACAGAATTAAAATGTGTAATATTTAAACACCAGAAAAAGAATATATGTTCTCACCAAAAGAGGCAAAATTTTAAGCAAGCCCAAATATACATTTTAAATTTAACCAACTCTGCAGACTCTATAGTTAATTGCCCTAGTAGAGGCTTGAGACACAAACAGCTCAATTAGAAAAGTGTGTGCCAATGTTACTATAAATCTGGCTCAATTAGAAAAAAAATAGGTTCTAATTGAGCTGGGGTGTGACCGGTCTGCATAAATTAGTTTAACTTAATTCCTTTCCCTCCCTCCCTCCCTCCGAGAGAGAGAGAGAGAGAGAGAGAGAGAGAGAGAGAGAGAGAGAGAGAGAGAGAGAGTTGTGTAAATGAAGGGGAATCCAAAAACAAAATTCATAAACAGAAATACTTCAACTAACTGAAGTGACTTTAGAAAACACAAGATCTGTAACCCAGTATAACTGCTTCAAGAGCAAAGCCATCAGGAAAGCTCAGGTCCCTATAAAACATAACTCCAAATTATTTTCACTGACTTGCTTAGCAGAATTTTCATTAATTCTGTAGACACAATTTTAATTCTTCCCTCAAACTTAAGATTTACAATGGAAGCATTTAATCAAAACTATGAACTACTTCAATACACACAGACACACACACACACACACACACACACACAATACCTTTTTAAGGCAAACTCTTAAAAGTCTAGAAAGCAAAAAAAAAAAGTAATTTGTATTACTACAGTCAACATTATGTCAATTCTCTTCAGAAAGGTTTTAATTCCAGCAATTTAAGCCTACATAATTCATCACATCAAGATGTGAAGCTACGTCAAGTCATGGGTATTAGTCTACCTCTGTGCATATCTGTAACAAGTTCACTGAAGAAAACAAAATCGTGAGCATGTGGGCAACTTGTCCCAATCTTGTATTCCAGCACTTAAGAGGCTGAGATAGGAAGGAGTAGGAAGCCATATACACTCAGTATATTGACAGTATTATGGATGAAGCATTAGGGAGAAATTGTATTTTTTAAAATGTTGTATTAATCATTTACACTTCGAAATAGCATGCATTAATCCTATCAGATCTTCCCAATGGAAACAAGAGTCTACAACAATAGGGAAAAGTTACTTTAGAATATCCTATGTTACATTTCAACTGCAAGTACTTCTGGTCCTAAATACTGTTAAATTCATGACATCTATAATAAAAATTATCCAAATGCGGTGCTTAAAATCTAATTACTTTGTGGAATGTATACATTTCTGTACTTTCGATTAAGATTCCACACAGTTTTTGCCTTTCAGCACAAAGTCCTGAACCTAATTCCTAAAACGATCAAAAAAGTTGCTACTTTGAGGAGAAGGATGCTAATTATGGCAAAAGCCAAAGATTGTTAAAAAATTAACCGAGATTACAAGCCTGCAGAACATGAACTCAGGGTACTTTAAATAACTCCCTCTCTCATCCTGTTACTTTTATTTCTAAGTAAGTGACAATCCCACCTTAAATTATCAAAATTTGATGGCACTGGAAAAAAAAGTAATTTTAAAATGAATTACATGAAAAAATCAATTTTAAAAATTTTAAAAGTTTACTCTGGCTTTCGTGGGGGCAGTGGGGAGGCGCTATCAATCAACGGGACTTTTTAAAGCCTCCGTAACTCGCCAAGGGACCTTTCAAGTTAACTAAACACGCCCATGTCTTTGAAAATCTGGCTTGAGAAATAATAAGAGCAGTTTGGGGTGCT